ATAGAGGAGGTTGATAATTGTTGAAAACAAAGATAATTCAACTCAATTTATTTACTTGTTGAAGTTCCCTCTGTTTCAATACTGATGATTTTCTGTGGAAGAAAATAAGCACTTGAGGATAAATAATTACATTTCCTTAGAAAATTGAAATGGACAACTGAGAAAAACATTTTAATTGATGCATTCTTTATATTAATCCTTCAGTTAGTAAAAATATTCCTTTGAATACAAGATGTCCTTGAATTAAATACTCACCGAAAATTTATGACTCTCAGGAAAAAAATAAAGCATCAGATAAGACAAAGTTACAAGAATATAAGAACTTTTAATCTTTTTTCCAGTATAATTTAAGACATAGGCCATTTTATAGCAGAAATATTTTGTTTCAAGAAGTGTCTCATATCAAAAGAAATAAGGGAATTGTTTTGTCAGTTAACATTACATTTGCTTCACATTATGTTAGCCATTATAAATAATTACAGAATTCATTTGTGGTTTAAATCCTTCTTAAACTATTTGTCCTAGCAGGTGGCTCAGAAGAAAGAATTCTTGAACTTTGAAGTGTCAAGCCTAATCAGTGAAGTTTGATTGTGCTCCGTCCACTAATTCTCTGTGCTGGGCTTTTCATTTATTAAAGCTTAGCAGGATGTAATTTCTCCTGTTTGTATTTGTATTAGATGCTTAGTTATAATGTTTATTTCCATTTTTTCTATGTAGTAACTGCTTTGTGCAATTCTGAACCTGATAAATATTTTTCAGGGTTTTTAAAAAAAAAACAGAATTTTTAGATACCTTAGTCTACTAAGTTCAATAAATGCTCTTGATGTATATGTATATCAGTTTTTACATAATTCCTCCTTTTAAAAAATGTTAAGTAGCTATGGTAGTTTTCACCTAAATTATTTCTTTGATTTTACAGTGAAGCCTGGTTTCTTAGCTATAATCATAAAGTCTTTTTCTTTTTGAATCAGAAACATCACTTGGATTGTTGTGGTATTTAAACTAACCATCTGATTTAAATCACTATTTTGATACCAAGACTTCTTTACCATACTCATCTTTAAGCCAATGGGCCAGTTTTCTTCAGTGGGGAATCAGTATCATAACAGCATGATCAGTCACATTCATGTATTTATAAATGTATGTTGTACATCCATGTATTTCTGGGTGTGCTAATCAGGCAGTATATCTAAGTGCTTCATGAGCAATGAATTTAAACACCCCTTGTGAGGCTGGGGAATATCACTGCCCCCATTTAAAGGTATGCAGGGAGACTGACATCCTCCAGGAAGACTATGGCTAGGTTGTATAACAGTTTATGGCTCCTACCCTGTTAGTCTTACTCTTTTACCAGTAGACCTAGATTCTCCCTTCTGAGTATGTGCCTTGATTTGAAGATATTTTGTCTTAGACCACACAATATGTGTAACAGATACATGTTTAACCTTATCAGAGTCAATAGCTGTGCTGTTAACCTGCATGCTCATCTGATTTTGCTTAGATAACATACCCAGAAATATAGCTCAGATAGCTTTAAATCAAGCTGGATGTTTAATGGGATGGAAAAATGAAGGCTCCTAAAGTACACATGTTCTTTTATTTTTTATTGTAGCTTTTCTTACTCATGACAACTTCATCATTAATTCTGCTTTCTACTATACCAAAGAGTACAGCATGGTATATTTTGTAGAAATACGATATCACATTGCTAAGAAAGTTATTGCAGTGTAGGCTATAACATCTCAGCCAACAGGTGTGGAGAGGGTGCCAGTTTGTGGGCAGATGAGCTTTGCAATTTAGTGATGTGTATATTAGCCAGGTGCTACTGTAATTCTCAGAATGGCTTGGTAGCAATAGTAAGACTGTAACACCTAAAACAAAAAAAAACCCCCAAAAAACTCCCCAAAGGCCAGAAAACAAGTAAAATGAAAACTTAAACAAGCTGTAAATACATTCTGTCCTGTAATGCAATGGTTCTCAATCTCTTTTGTACCAGGACCCATTTGTAAACATCAGTTGTCAGTCCCAACCTAGTGCCCCTCACTCCTGATCTGCTGCCCCCTGCCCCCAAGGGGAGGCTCCAGGCAGCCCACCTGCAGGCTGGAACTCCGCCAGCCTGCAAGGGAAAAGCCACTGTTTCCCATGTTTTTCTTCTTCAAAGGAGAATCCATTTTTAAAGTTTGATACATTTTTTTGAAGTTTGATTGAGGCCCATTCATATATTCTTGCACCCCACAGGTTGAGAATTGATGCTGTAAAGGTTTATTTTATAGGTAAAACCTTAAAACCTCTAACGGAACTAGCCTGTCTCATTAAGTAAAGTTTGAGTGTCGCTGTAGCCATGATACAGGGAATGTCTAAGAGGCAAGGATTTTTTATAATATCTTTTATTGGAAAAAGTAAAAAATTCTTGCTTCTCAGACATTTCCTAGACCATCATGGCTGCAACAACACTGTATCATTAGCCCAATAAAAGTTAGTACAAAAAAATCCTTGCTTCTCTTAAAGTTTTATGGAGAGTAAAATTCACTCCAGTACAGAGAGCTAGTGTCCCCTAGTATCCCTCTAATTCCTCTAGTGCCTGTGTGTGTCTATCAGATGTGACATCAAAAAGGCTGATGTGCAAGAACCCATCAAGGCAAACTGAGAGAGAAGCCATTGGATCTTCAGTGATACAGACACAGTGGTTCAAAACACCTCCACAAGGCACAAAGGATAGTGACCTTTGTTTTACATTGTGCAATAGTGGGCACGTGTATGCATGGCTGCACAGCGCCATTGTTACTGCACTGTCCTTTAGTACTTCTTTTTGGAAGTACTAAAGGACAGTGCAGTAACAGCCTGTACTGCACCATGCTGGCTGCGCATGGTTATTTTTATGAAGGAGCATGCTGCTACGGTGATGTAGCTGCAGTGTCACGGTTCTTGCCTGTTGAAAGTACATCACCATAGCATGTTGCTATGGCAATGTAGCGTCACGTGTAGATGCGCCCAGTATATATGAAATCCAGTTATCTGGAATGATATGTAACAAGCCTGGTTTAAGGAGTATTACAGAAATAAGTTGGTTAAATATAAGATTTACAAAAGATTACTTGGTTTCATGGGTGATAGAATGAGGGTCAGAGTTTTACTATGAAAAATAATTTTACTGGGAATAGTGGTTCTAAAATCATAGGCACTTTCTGAGGAAATGATCTGATCTCTCTAGGTTACCCAATTATTTTTAAAAACTTCAGTCGTACTAAGCTTGCCTGAGGAAGACCTCCAGGCATTTATAACCTGGTGTAAAACACCATTTTTAGTTCTTTCTCCATTTATTGTTCAACATTATCATAATATTCTTTTGATTCTAAAATACTAACTACAGTTGAAATTATTTACTATGTGCCGCATTGGAGTATGCAGATACACTGACATCCAAGTCTTACAGAGCCATATACAACAAACTAACTAATCTTTAAATTGATAGCTCACAATTGTATATTTTTATGATCTTGTTAAATGTTGTATTTAACACTTTTGTACATGCTCTGCATAATTTTATACCAGGTTTTTACCTTAAATTATGAAGGATAAAATTTTTGAAACTGCTTGGAGATGTAGACAGATGCCTAAGTCTCACTGAAATGCATTTAGAAATCCTGGCCTTGAGTACCCAGGTCATTTTTGAAAATGTGACCTAGGCTCCTGGCAGACATTACATTTGTTGCATGAGTAGCATACCGCATGTGCAAGCAATTTATTCATGGCAAACCAGTTGCAGATGATCTTTGTTATATGTGGAATGTCTTTGTGGCTGATTTGTATTTCACTTTAATTTGAATTTGTGGCATGTATGCCCAGTTCTCCTTTTCCAATCTTCCTCCAAAGAGAGATGGAAGAACGGAATGCCACTGGCTCCCTGACAGCCTGAGCTGTCAAGGAAATTTTCAGGCTGCTGTGTCACTGTTGCCTGGCAGTGGCAATAGCAACAGGGATGTTGGGCAGCCCTTCAAAGGTCTAGGTACATGGGGAGCTGGGGAGCCAGTACTTATATTTATCTTTCAGGATCAGGGAACAGCTCTCCAGGGCCAGGCTCCCCATAAATTACATAGATGCTTTTGCAAATTACTCCGAATGTTGAAGTTTACCTATAGCTTATATGTAAAGAGACAGTTTCAGTGTTAAACATCAACATGGATATGATGATGCATGAAGTAAAAAATGAGTGTTAAATCATGACGGTATATGATTGCGATGATGTCTATAATCACAAGTTTTCAGGATATTTCCCTCATAAAATTCATAGCTTTTTGTTATCTCAGTACAACTCAAGAAATTTTCAAATGTGGCTCTGTATAGTGTGCACAGTAGGGGAGTATGAACTTCAAGTACTTTGAGACCAATAGTTTTAAAGGTAATTTATGAAGAAAGCAAATAGGGCCTTCCTATTAATGGCAGTGCTTAAAGATAATCTTAAATTTAGCTCACAGTTTAAGTCCTGTGGATATGACTGAACACATGCCTAAAATGAAACTCATGTTTAAATACTGTTCCTGAATAAGGATGGATTTAATGATATGCCTACAATCTTTCCTGATTTGGAACTAGTGATGGATGATTTCTCACAGGAGCAGTCCCACTGAAGGGATCATTATGACTGTGAGCACTTGCAGGATCACCACAGTCTGTCCCTAAGTGTTATTCAATGTGGCTATGAAAGTATAATGGTTTGTTTTGGGGACACTGAAAAATCCAGTCATTTAACATTAACTAAAATCCTGTGCAACAAGGCACAGCTGCATGGTAGTTTTTAAACTATATCTAAAACTTTTCAGTGTCTTTAAATTAACTTTGTCTTTTGCATGTTTGTAGTAAAAAACAAGGACCTACATTAATGCCATATAATAAACAATAATTCAATACATTTTAAGGGGAAAAAAAGATCCCACTTCATTTCCAGCTTACAGGAAAATAAATATTTCAGGAAGTAACAATGTCCTTCTATTTCCTTCCAGGGTGGTAGAGGTGACCCAGGTCCTGCTGGTCCTCCAGGACCACCAGGGAAACAGGTAAGCAGCAGATTTCTATTTCCAGCTTGCAGGAACATGAAGAATCCGTATTTGCCTGTTCATTTCTATAGGGAATTGGAGAATGATGATGTGGCTCATGGATAAGCTTCCTTTTTGGTACTTTGTGACTGTACTAATGTAACAATGTGCATTTTTTAAAGCATATGAAAATGTGCGGTATGGGTAGGAGGTGGCAAGGACGAAAAAGTATAAAGGCTCTTTGTGATTCTTGAAGCTGATGTTGTAAACTGTTGTATGTGCTATGCATTTTCAAGAAGCAGAAGGAATGAAAGGCCACCTTTCTGCTAGCAGCTGCCTGGAGCTAATGAAAAGGATGGATCATGAATGCCCTCTTTTACTACTGCTCAAACAATATTTACACAGTAATAGTTAGAAGCACAGTTAGGGAGGTCTTGGTGAAAGAGCCTGCTGTTAAGGAGGAATGCTGGAACCGTGGGGGTGAAACATCGCAGGATGGTTTTATAAGACAACCAAACTATTTAGCCCAAGGACTGGAGGGCAGAGTCTAATTACTTTTGCTATTTGTGTTTGGGAATTATACAATCCTCATGAGGTGCTATTTACATGGGTAATATTTTGGGCAACATTCTGTTACTGTTGCTCACACTGCATAATCCCTTCTTTACTCCATCAGCTGTGACTACTCTGGGAATCAAGTCCTACTTTGGGAATCAGAATCTGACCCTCTTTTCAGCTCCTGGGTTTTTTTTTCACTTCAGATGCAATATTGATAAGTTTCCATCCTTGATTTATTTTCACAGGGCTCTGAAGGGGATATAGGACTTCCAGGACTCCCTGGTCCTCCAGGCCTCCTTGGTGTTAAAGGTGACAGGGTAAGAAATGTACTTGGAGGTGTACCAACTGCAATATGTGGTCAGAAGGAAAACAATGGTTTTGGCAAAAGTATGTAATGATTCTTTATTTCCCATAATTTCTTCCATACCAAGATGTATTGATCTGTTTAGAAACAGTGGTGCTTTGTGTATCTAGCAACTACTTATGGCTCATAAGCACATACCAAAAATACTTGATCTTACTGAAAAATGGTACATGAAGACAGCTTTTCAAAAGCCCTAAGTCATAGAATCATAGAGTTATAGAAGTAGGGTCGGAAGGGACCTTATAGATCTTCAAGTCCAACCCCCCGCCTGGGCAGGAGAAAAAACTGGGCTCAAATGATCCCAGCTAGGTAGGCATCAAGCCTCCTCTTAAAGACCCCCCAGGGTAGGAGCCAGCACCACTTCCCTTGGAAGTTGGTTCCAGATCCTAGCTGCCCTAACTGTGAAGTAGTTCTTACGGATGTCTAATCTAAACCTACTCTCCAACAACTTGTGGC